GCAAAAGTCTCCATTGGGACAGGGTCAGGTTTGTAGTTTGCCATTATTAGACATTGCTTAGCACGCTGTTGTAGCTACCCTGTTCAAGAGGTAGAATAAACCTGGAGAAGGCTTTCCTTGGAGATATGAACTCTAGCTTGACAAGACCTGAAGTACGGTCTCTGAACTGAATTTAGTCTGTTAGACTTGCATGTAATAACTCCTTGTGAACTCCTCCCTGTAGCACTCCCTATCTCAGGATATTGGAGAGTTTCCAAATCTTAATAAGAGAATCATCACAACCTCTCTCGTGAGATTTGGGAAGTAGTCTCTCTCTGTACCTGCCTTTTAGTCTCCCAATTTGACAGATGAGCAGAGTGATTTAATTTTGAGGAGCTCACTATGTCAGCCACAAATTAAGTCATTTTGGCAGAGCTTAGAACAGAACCTAAATGTGGGATTTTACAGTTTTAGTCTTGTACTCTAGCCATAAGGCGATAGCCAGTGTCACTCCTCCTCCCCCTTCCCATGGTCTCACTCAGCTGTAGGTCTAAAGAGGCATTTTTTCGTTTCCTCTGTCCCGTCCCGTCCCATTCTGTCCCTCCTGGATATCCAGTTAATAGTCCAAATACAGGTTGCTTCTACCTGGTTCTTGGTACAAAGGGGAGGCTTGCAGAGATGCTAGGATGCAGAAGTGACAACTTGGTCTTCTGGGAGAGATGGGATCATGCTAGAGCAGTGTAGTCCAGGCTCTAAATAGCCTCAAGACTGAAGGTGGCCCAGAGCCATTTGTCACTTGAATGTGGCCATTGCTTGATGGATCCTACCCCCCCAAACCCCACTGTACCTTACTGCTCATGTTGGGAAAGTGTGGTTGTTTCTGTTCCATGAAATAAACCTTTTTAATTTGGAAGCAAGGTAATTATGTTGTTTGCCTATTGTTATAACTCTTCTCAAAGCTTTTTTTTTTTCCATTTGACCTGAAAAACGAAAGCTGACTTTTAACAAGCATGGACGTTATAAAACAGTCGATGATGCGGGTAGTCTTAACTTTTTTTTTCTCATTTGTAAATGGATCTGTTTTGTTCGATGCTGTTTTACTGATTGTATAACTGTCTATTAGCAGTTGTGCAGAACGTTAAATCCTTGGGATGGAAAGTGCTCTGCAACCCTGCTCTGTGAATGCAGTGTCAGGTGGGGCTTAAAATCAGTGTGAGGTCTGCAAAGAGGACACAAGGAAGAAATGAGGGTGAGGTGGAAAAGGAACAGGCAGAGAGAAGGGATGTAGACAGGTGGAGAGATGGTAAAAGTGCAGGTTGGTATATGCTGGAGGAATACATAACAGCAGGAAAGGGTGTAATAAAGTATTAAAATTAAATTTAAAAAAATTACTCTGTATCGGGTATTGTGGCTCAATACTTTTAAATTTAAAAAAAAAAAAATTAAAATTCAAGTAGGGAGGAGGAGTTCATGGCAGCAGAACAGCTGAGAATTGATCTGCAAGTCAAGTCAGAATTGGTAGTTGCTCGGCCAAGAAGACTGCAGTAAATTTGGAGGAAACAGTGTCAAGACTGGATAGCTTTCTAAGGGTATGCTGTTGTTCAAACAGAAGTTAAAGGTTTAGTGTAGAAATTGCTGTGTGGGGTTTTGTGGACGTCTGTACTGCTAGTCCGACTAGGTCACCATCCTGTGACACGTGTGACACAAGTAGCTCTGGTGTTGCACTGGGGGGTGGGGAGCAGGCATTGCAATGACTAGTAAGTCAGGGAGCAGGAAGCAGAGCAGCAGATTGAGGAAGGGACTGGAGCAGCACTTGGGCATAATTTGGGGCTTAATTTATGGCATGCCTGCCAAAAAGGTTGGCGGACAGGCCACATCGCAAAGGCTCTAGGTGTTCCCAATGGTATATTTTTACTTTTTAATATCCAGGAAGTGGTAGCGGATAATTGAAATAATGTGGCAGCAACTTTAAATTAGCGAGTCAGATGAAACGAAGTGGGTCATCTGTGTGGGCAGAATAAATTTTAAAATGGTCCCAACCAGTTTTAAAGGCTGCAGATGGATTTTGCTTTTATGCACGAACTCTTTAACTTTGAACACATCCAAGAACGAATTGTACCTGAATCCTGCAGCGATCCTGCGCACCCGTCTGGAGTCCTCATTGACACCACTAAGCCAGAGTACGGGGCCGTAGTTTGCCTACGTGGAGTTCATTGCCAGTCAGTGTTTTAGTCTACCAACTCCAAATGTGCCGAGTCTTGGGGACGGGGATGTGGAGGCAAGACCAGGAAGATTTGGACGTGACCTGGATGCTTGTGTCATAAAGGAAGGGTGGAATCCAAGATGACACTGATGTTACTGGCCATACTGACGGGGGGGAATAGCAGTATAAATAGTGATGAATACAGAAAAGACTTGGGAAGAGAAGAGGAGCTTGGTTTTTAACTGATGGTTGACATCTCGGTCTCTGGGGTGTTGTTGCCTGTCACTGACTCATTTTTTGGCCCCGAAATAAGTCATTGGACCGTTGTGTCTTGAGTTTGGCCATCTGTAAAATGAGGGAGTTGTGAAGCTTGCCTAACGTTCATAAATCATGTTGGGATTCTTGGATAATGGGTGTTATATAAATGCACAACAGAATTTTTTTCCTTTGGTGGGAACATATTATGTCATCTTGGAACTTTTTTCAATTAGTGTTTCCATTTTACTTGAAAATTGAGTATTAAAATCTCATCAATACATGTAACCAAATACAGCATGTGTTATATATGCATCTTGGCTTTGTAATTAGGCAGAGGTCAGTAGTATGGAGGGTACTATATTAATTTTTATAGAAGTAATATTGCAAACAAACTGGCCATCACTAGATGGCAGTCGATCTCCAACTTTAATAGTAGTTTATAGTCAAAGTTTGAATGTGGTTACTATGCAGTAAACCCACCAGCCTTGATACTATGGCAGTATCCCAGCTCTTATAAATTTGAAGTTGGTCCCTTTCAGGTGCTTTGTACTAATGGAAGAAATTAGCCTCTGCCTCAGTGCTAGATATGTTGTGAACTCTGTCGGCTTTGCTTTTTGACTGATCTAGCATGCTCGCTTGCAGAATGTGAAGTTGGACTAGTTTTTAAAGTTTAATTAATGCAAGTAAGGAAAGAACCCTCATATGCAGGTGACTGTAGGTGCGTGACTCAAGTTGTAAGAACAGACTTTCTTAAAGATTTTTTTACTCGGGTCTGGCCCTCAGCACTAAGTCCCAATTTGGCCATGGCCTTTTTTACTGTGGAGACTGTCCTGAATGCAGAGGATGAAATGGTCAGAAGTAATATCTGATTCTATTGGATAGCAGACTTTTAACCCTAAATCAATTTAGTACCTTTGAAAGTGAGCCACAATAATTTAAAAATGCCTTCGAGGAGCTATTTAGTTCTGATCTCTAAAGGGTTGTTTGTTATATCTGTTCACTATGGAAAGGCTTCTATATTTTTATAGTCTGTTTTTGATTATATTTTCATCTTGGATAATTATGCTTGAAAGCTAGGAGAGCAGTATTGTAATTAAAGCAGCTGGGGTCTCTGAAATTTAATTTTTAGCGAACTAGGAACTTTGAATCCTCTAAAATTGACCAGAGGAGAATCCAGCAAAGCTAGGTTTAGATTTTAGATCCATCTCGTAGAGGAAGTCCTATGCATTATGCAGCTTTACAGTAGTTGTTTTTTTTAAGATGATTATTATTATTATTCTGCATGCCCTAGAAAATGAGTGTGATTTACAGTAAGAAAAAGTCTTTCATACATTGCATCATCAACCTCAATCTTTCTGGAATATCAGCTGCTTATTTGGCTATTGAGATGGTCTGTTTGCCGTGCAGAGGCAGGTGGAAGTCTTGCACACTGTTTTCATTCCTGTGTATGTGAATTCAGGGAAAATGTTTAATTGATCCATCTGGAGATTGTCTGTAATGTGATGGCTGCGTTGAAGCTTCCCCCCGAAGACCCCCCTCCTGGTGTGCATTGCTTTGGACTTGGAAGGACTTCTGTGGTAATGGGGCAGGGATTTAAACCTTTTATGCTTTGTTCATGTCGGCAGCAGAGATGACTGTATAGTTTTGTGACAGCCTTCCCACTACGTCTGCTACATTACAGAGGCACTAGGGCTAGGGACAGAAATTTAGATGCAAACTTATTTCAGTGATCAGAAACCAGTTCAAATCTGTAACGCAACAAATTTAGTGCACATAAACCACTTTCAAAATGACTGAAACCAGTTTAAGATAAACTGATTTGGAGGTAGTATCAGACTTCATTGATTTAGGTTAAATTGGTTTATTGAACTTCTGTCCCAGATTCCCTCCAGATTCAAGTGAACTCAGTCCCCTAGCATCCCAGGATGCTTTGCACTTCCCTCGCAAACCTGGTCTCATAGGGTGGGTAGGTTAGTGTTGGCCCAAGCTGTCTCCTTTACCCGAGCAGGGAGGCATGCTCTAGCGTCCCCCAGCTTCTGGCCTGGGCCACTGCAGGCAGGTGGCTGCATTTCTGGAATCAAAAGTGGATGTCTGTTCACTTGCTTATCGGTTTAATCTACATGGCTTAGACTAGCCTGGATAGATTGATTTGATTCAGCCTCGGGCTTTCTGACCATCTGTCCTTAGCAAAGGAGTTGGGTTCAAACTCAGTTCCTTTTATAAAGGCAACCGTATGCCATTGAATTAATAGCCCTTTGTAGTCCATTGCTGACGTGATTGTACACAAGCTAGAGGTGGAAGCCTCCCTATATGGTTACGAATGGGATTATGCGTTAACCTTTTGAAATATTCTTTAATGAAATCCAAATGCCTGACTTGTAGGGGAAGAAAAAAGAAAAGATTATATGGGGACAGAAACATTCACACCCAGGGGTTTCAAAAAAGTAGGCTTCTTGACTTGTTTTATACAGAGGTGAGAGGTTACTTTTAAAGACTTGAACTTTGTGTGTCTGTTCTCTCTGACATCAGTGGTGACAGCCATTTGCAAATTCTCTTTTAGGTCGGTTTACGATGGTGAAGAGCATGGCCGTTTCATGGAAAAACTGGAAGCCCGAATCCGAAACCATGACAGGGAGATCGAGAAAATGTGCAACTTCCATTACCAGGGCTTTGTGGACTCTATCACGGAGCTGCTGAAAGTTAGGGGTGAAGCTCAGAAGCTGAAGGTAAGAGTTTTTGTAAATGGATAACTTTCCCT